GGTCATTGTGTATTTAGTCTGCTATAAGAAAGAGAAGATGATAAGAATACATTGTGCAACACAGTGTGTGCAGTATGCTGTCTTTTTTAAGAAAGGGAGGGAAATAATACATTTTTATTTGCTTATACTGGCACTAAGAAACACTGGAAGGTGCATAAGAAACTAGTAAGATCAACAATAGGGGTCAGAATGCAGGGCATACAATGGAGGAGGGTAGGGGTAGGAGGGAGGACATCTCAGTGTCTATTGTGTTATTATTGTTTTCATGTTTAAATCTTGTGAATTTATTTTCAATACAAAAATTAATTTTTAAAATATTTTTGAATGTATTGCTTTTGTTTTTTTATAAGCTGAAAAGTCACATGTTTGCAAGCACTACCAGTTATTTTTCATTCATTCATTGTTCATGTATTGTGCATCAACAGTGTGGTTGATGCTACAATAAAGTATAATATATGTAATTCTTATAAAGGGCTCACTTTGGTGGGCCAATGAGAATGTGAGGTAATCACTGTGGAATGCTAAATGTTCTTAAGAAAGGCACAGCTGTTGGGCAGAATCAGTGAAAATTCAGGTAGGAGGTAGCATTTGAATTACCTTTTTGAGCAATTGTAGAAAAAAGGGAAAAGTTAAGGGAACTTTAGGTGGGGGGTGAACATAGGCACAAACATGGCAAACTATAGGACTTGCTCCAGAATTCCTTGCTTTTGACAAGCAGTATGAATGAAAATCATCCTCGAGTATAGCTGTGGTCTTGTAACATTTCAAGAAATTAAAATGTTTTGATGAAAGCAAATTGTTATTACCCTGTTTGTCATTTGCCACATTTTCATTGAAATTCTTGTGGAAATATAGGCAGTGTCAGTAGCACCTGAACTAGGAATATGTACAGTATGGGAAATTTTAAAATAACATTTCGTTCTGATATAATTTCACACAGAATAGTTGAGTGATTACAAAGATCATATATATTATATATTACTTATATAATTTTTTTCTGAACCATTTGAGAGTAAAGTTAGAAACTTTATTCCCTTTTACCTCTAATACATTGGTGTATATTTCCTAAGAACATTCTCTTCATAATTACAGTATAGTTATCAGAATCGGGAAATTTTACATTGATTCATTATTACCAATCTACAAGCCATGTTTAAAGTTTGCAAATTGTCACATAATGTACTTAATTACTGATATTCCTCTAGTCCAGGATTAAATCTAGGTTCACACTTTGTATTTAGTTGTCACGCCTCTTTATTCTCCTTTAATGTGAAACCATTCCTTAGCCTTTTTAAATCTTTCTTGACATTGACATTTTTTGAAGTATAGGACATTTATAGAATGACCTTCACTTTGAGCTTGTCATACATATTCTCATAAATAGATTTAGCTCATGCGTGTGTGTTTTGTTTTTTGCTTGTTTATTTGTTTTTTGTTTTTATTTAATTTTATTTTTGTTTAAAATATTACAGATGTCCCTTGTTCTCCCCAATGACCCGTTCCATCCTGTCCCTTCCGCCACCCCAGTCCCTCTCCCCACCATTGTCCGTGTCCTTGGGTTGTGCATATATGCATATAAATTCTTCGGTTACTCTCTCCCCCTCCATCCACCCGCCCTCCTCCATCCCTCTGACATTCGTCAGTCTCATCTATGCTTCAATATCATTGAATCTATTGTTTATCAGTTTATTAAGTTCTTTAGATTCCACATATAAGTGAGATCGTGTGATGTTTGTCTTTCTCTGCCTGGATTATTTCACTTAGCATAATATTTTCCAGATCCATCCATACTGTCCCAAAGGGTACGAGATCCTTCCTCTTTACAGCTGCATAGTATTC